CAAAAGATCTCAAATGCTCAAGAAGTCTGAAGAGTTGATCAGACAAGCTCACCTCCTAAGGACTGGGTCCAAATTAGGGTTTTGGTTTTCTCAAGGATAATTGGACTTTTAATGCCTAAAATGACTTTCATGGTTCATTATAGGTCTCCAAGATTGCTCATATTAAATTTCAAGTCTTGCACCATAAATTTGCTCAGCCAATTGCTCAGATGACTGAAAACCAGTTGTATTAGGTAAAAAGTCAATTATGGTCTATATAGTCAAACTTCGTGATTTTTGTCCAACATAAACATTTTGAAGTCATATTCATCAATTTATCAAGGTTTTATCATAATTCCTCAATAAAAGCAATTAAATCATCAAATGGGCAAAATTGTCAAAAAGTAGGGTTTTGATTGAGAATGACTGATCATTGACTTTTGACCTAGTACATGACCTAATGGCTTGGATCATGATCTCAAGGAATAAAACACAGTATCTTGACATAATTTCATGGCTCAAATCATTTCTCAAGATCAATGGATTGATATTTGAAATTTGATCAACTAATGAAAAGTCAACTGATACACAAAAAGTCAAACTTTGACTTTTTGATCAACATTCAATTTCAAAGATCAAGAATCATCAAGACATTAAAAAATATCAAACTTGATCATCAATAATCAAGAGAATCAATAAAGTCAACAATAAGTCAATATTTTCAAGACTTAGAAAAATTCTAAGTGTTTTTTAACCTTGATAATTTCACTACTTCATGACATTTTTTCACCAAGATGCAAGATGACTCAAGTAAAACTTTCAACATAAAAGTTGTAGATCTTGATGAATTCTATAACTTTGTCCTTGAGGGTTTATGTCCAAAAATGCTTAGATTTGAAGATATAGGCTCATGAAGTCATGACATTTTTGTATAAACACTTAGTGAAATTTTCAACAAGTTTAGGCAAATTTTTGTCCTAACTTATTGGCCAATTTTCACCTAGTTCCAATTTTATTTTGCCAAAATGGTCAACATGAAGCTTGTATACAATGTTTCAAGCTTTTCAAAATGTCCCATAACTTGAAGATATCATGATTGAGCTAGAAGTTTCGAAGAGGTGAAGTTGGACATCCATTCTTGAATTTTAGGTAATCTTCATGAAAAACACATAACCAAATCCCACAACTATGTTGCATAATCTTGCTTTGCAGGCCTCTTGACTTGAAAATCTATCTGTAATCAGATGTTTTCACAACTAATTGAGCTAGGATCCAAGAGCTTGAGCCATTGTCCAAGTGATCATTCCATTAATGGAACAAAGTTCACAATTCCATTTTGGAAAAGTGACTTTAATCACAAAGTCAACTTGTCTTGAGCCTTTAACTTGTTTGTTCTAATCACACTCAACATGTATGCTCAGAAGCAACATGTTTAAAGCCTCTAGCCACCCTACAAGCCCTTGTACCATTGCATTGGAACAATGTTTTTCAAGCTTGCTTCCAAATCAAGTCACATAACCATAATATGTGATCTCTTGATTCTGATTGTTTAAAGCACCCAAACCTATTGTCTATAAATAGAGAAGTTGTATGAAAGCTAAAGCACAAGTTTACAAGCCCTGAAACACTCAATAAATCCCTGAACTCAGAATTTGCATTTCAAACCTCCATTGTTGCATATTTTGACCTTGAACTTCAAATTCAAAATCTACTCGTGCATTTTAATTTCTAATCAATCACAAAGCTTCCTTACCTCATTTATAAATCATCCCCATCCATGTTTCATACTTGTAACTCCATTTCCATCATTGTTCAAACCTCACTTTACACCTCTGCAACTTGACTTCTCCAACACGATTTAGGCACTTTCAGCATAAAGTAAGTGTAAGTGCCCTGGCTGGAGAGTTGGCTTCATTTGTAAAACAAATAAGAAAGCAAGTTTACCCATATTCCCTCTGTTGTTTTAATATGTTGGGTTGAAGAAGTTCAACATCTGGACCAACATGTTATGTAAGATGTCACAACATCAGCATATGACATTGCGCCTGAAATTAAGTACTAATTAAGTAACTATGTTATATGTTGAATGTTTGTAACAGCTGTGACTTGTAACCTAACTATTCTAAGTGATCTAAATTATGAAAGAGGTTATTTGTTGTGTTGAAGAAGTTCAACATCTAGGACAACATGTTAGATATAATGTCATGACATCGGACTTGACATCACGTCAACAGAATTAATAACTCAGTTACAGTTCTGGTACTTAAATACTCTGAGAATATATGTGGCGTTTCTTATGGAGAATCTGAAGATCAATCAAGAATCAATCAGAATATTTGAAGAAAATACTGTTTCTAAATATGGAGATATTTTAGGAACTAGAAGATTGAAGACCTTGATTATAGCAGAAGTTTGCTGCTGAGTTGTAACAGCAAGGAGAAAAGCTTGCTGAGATTTTTGAAGGCCCAAATCCAGTTGGGTAATAGGTTATAAATAGCAGATTGTAACCTAGGGTTGGGAA